GCTACAGACAGAATCTTGCCAGACTAAAACAACTATCAGCCTAACTGTAGTTATACTTTGCAAACTGCTAGGGATAGAGTCTGTCTTTGGTCTCTTGGAATCAGCCCCTCCCTCGGGACTCCAAACTACAGGTAGTCTTCAACTTACGACCACAATTGAGCCCAACATTTCTGTAGTTCAGTGAAACATTTGTTAAGTGAGTTTTGGCCAGTGGTGAAATCCTCCCCGGATTGCCACCGGTTCGCTGCGCACCCATGCGCAGTGCGTGCCAAATGCGCGCTTCGTGCAGAAAAAGGAGCCTTGGGAAGGTAAGTAGAACAGCGAGGGGCGGGGACAGCTGTGCCGCGTAATTTAGCTTCACTAGAAAGCAGGATTTCCTGCTTTCTAGCGAATATAAACCGCGCGGCACAGCTGATTGTCGGAAATACCGGTTCAGATGAATCGGTAGCTTTTTTTTTACTACTGGTTCGCCTGAACTGGTAGTTTTGATCACTACCGGTTCGCTTGAACCGTTGTGAACCGGTATCATTTCACCCCTGGTTTTGCCCCATTTTACGACCTTTCTTGCCACAGTTGTTAAGTGAATCACTGCAGTTGATAAATTAGTAACCCCTGTTGTTAAGTGAGTCTGGCTCCCCATTGACTTAGCTTGTCAGAAGGTCGCAAAAAAGGTGATCACACTATCTCTGGGACCCAGCAATGGTCATAAGTATGAACCAGTTGGCAAGCATCTGAATTTTGATCACACGATTGTGGGGATGCTACAAGTGTTGTAACTGTGAAAAACAGCCACAAGTCACTTTTTCCCATGCCGTTGTAACTTTGAACGGTCACTAAATGAACTGTTGTTAGTCGAGGACTACCTGCACATTCTATCGCAGTTGCAGGGTGACTTGACTGTCATTTGTGTCCTTCCCAGCTGGCTTCCGACAAGCAAAGTCAAGGGAGGAAGCTGTGTTGGCTTAATGATCATCTAATTCACTTAATAACTGCAGAGATTGACTTCACTGTGGTAAAAAAAAAGGCTGTAAACTCGTGGATGCCTCACTTAACGACCACTTTGCTTAGCAACTGGTCCCAGTTGTTGAGGTCTACTTGCATCCAGTTGGCCTTCATCCTGTAGATCTGTAGGAAGGTATTACAGGCTATAAATACTCTTAGGCATTGGGTCCTGGATGATGGCCATTCCTATCTGGAAACGCGTAGTAGTACACATTATGGATCTCTGATGGCTTATGAACAGCTGTGATTTTAATTAAAATAATTTGTTTTCTATTGTTTTGAGGTTTACATTTTGTTGCCCAGACTTGCAGTGTTTTAAGTTGGATGGCCATGTAAGTTTCTTCGATAAAATAAATAAAAGCATTTCATTCTAATTGGGTAGTTTGCTAATTATTAAAAATTCAATTCAATTCAATTCAATTCAATTCAATTCATTAAGAATTAAATCAAACATCATTATTCAATTGAAATAACTAAACTAATATATCACTTCCCGGCCAGCGTAAACCCTGCAACTTGGGGATCTTGCAACAGCATTGTTTTGGGGTCTTCAGTGCAGTTGGTGAGATATTTACTTGTATGCTCTGATTGGGTTAAAATTAGCACTTCTAAAAAGAACCAAGTGAAGCTGCCCAAGAATATTACAAACAGCTTTTAAACATGTTCAAACAACATTTGGGCATTCCTATACCATTACAAATTTCCCCACAGTTTGTTAAGGTTGCCTTTTGCAAATTGTTTCTTATTTATTTATCTATCTATCTATCTATCTATCTATCTATCTATCTATCTATCTATCTATCTATCTATCTATCATATTTCTATGCCGCCCACTCTCTAAGGACTCTGGGTGGCTTACACCAAAGAAGTATTCTAAATAGCATATTGCCCCCAACAATCTGGGTCCTCATTTTACCCACCTCGGAAGGATGGAAGGCTGAGTCAACCTTGAGCCAGTGAGATTTGATCCGCTGATCTGCTGAACTAGCAGTCAGCTGAAGTAGCTGCAGTACTGCACTCTAACCACTGCACCACCTCGGCTCTTACAAGTGGAAACTTGTAAACTTTCCAGAGGTTTCCACTCAAACTTAACTCATCAAACATAATTGGGAAACACCATGCTACTCAGGGCTGCTATTCATTGTGCTGGAAAACAACCAAACAACAACAACAACAACACCTCATGGCACTCGAAATCACATCCTTGTAACAAATAGGTCCTAACTTATTACCTCCCACTGTAGGGTGGTATACTTTCCTACACTACCTCCCTCTCTAAATAGCATAGGAAAGTTTAGTAGCAAGGGTGCCACACTGTGTAAAACAACAACAAACTGCAGGCATGAATATGGCCATCATAACTACCTTTGTAGAATAGTGTTTTTTGTGTGTGTTGTGTTCTTGTTTTTTAAATGTTTTCATTTGTAAACCAAGACTATAAATTTAATCAATTAAATTACATCTAATAAAACAAGCTGGATAATGATACTTGTCTCAACAAGCTGGATAATGACACTTGTCTCACTGATTCCTCACTGAGGAAGTAGAAGAGGTGGAAGTGTAATGAAAAATGAAGCCTCTTTCTCCATTATCTCTATACAGACAGGTTATTTACACTGATACCAAGGTAATAAATTACCCTGTTTCCCCCAAAATAAGACCTCCCTGGATAATAAGCCCAATTGGGCTTTTGAGTGCATGCAGTAAAATAAGCTCCACCCAAAATAAGCCCTCCCTGAAAATATTAAAACACATTTGCAGCTGTTTTCCCTGGTTAAGGTTTCCTCTGGTTAAGGTTAGGGAGACAGAGCTGGAAATCGGGTAAGATGGCAAGAGGAGCCCCGTCTTGCTCCACATGCCCCAAAATAATAAGATCTCCCCGAAAATAAGGCCAAGCACTTATTTCGGGGTTCATAAAAATAACGGTCTTATTTTTGGGGAAACAACGGTAGTATGCATGTCAGGATATTTTAGGATGGGGAAAATGACTAATCAGTGTTTTAAAATATGTAAGGGAACAAATTTCCTTTGTATGAAAACGTAAAGGGAAACGTTGGGGTGTCTAAAAGCTTGGAATTTGAGCCATTCTATGTTCAAAATTCCCCTTTGGAGTTTGCAGAAGTTCAGATTGCCAAAATACTCCACACATTTTGGAAGTTTTGAGATTTAAATAAAGTTACTTTGAACTTGCAATACAAGCAGTCCTCGAGTTACGACCACAATTTGAGGCCAAAATTTATGTTGCTAAGTGAAAATCTCTTAAGTGAGTTTGCCCCATTTTACGACTTTTCTTATCACAGCTGTTAAGTGAATCATTTCATTTGTTAAATTAGTCATGTGGTTGTTAAGTGAATCTGGATTTCCCATTGATTTTATTTATTTATTTATTTATTTATTTATTTATTTATTTATTTATTTATTTATTTATTTATTTAATTTTTATGCCGCCCTTCTCCCGAAGGACTCAGGGCGGTGAACAGCCAGGGTTAAAATACATGCAGTATAAAAATTAAAATAATTTAAAAATAATTAAATCCAATTTGAGGATTTTGCTCGTCAGAAGTTTGCAGAAGCTGATCACATGACTCTGAATTTTGATCATGTGACCATGGGGATGCTGCAGTGGTCGTAAGTGTGAAAAACAGTTTTAAGTAGTGGTGAAATCCATTTTTTTTTACTTCCAGTTCTGTGGATGTGGCTTGGTGGGCGTGGCAGGAGAAATAAATTGCAAAATCTCCATTCCCACCACACTCCTGGGGGAAGGATATTGCAAAATCCCCATTTCCACCGCACTCCTGGGGGAAGGATATTGCAAAATCTCCATTCCCTCCCCACTCCTGGAGCCAGCCAGAGGTGGTATTTGCCAGTTCTCCAAACTACTCAAAATTTCTGCTTCCGGTTCTCCAGAACCTGTCAAAACCTGCTGGATTTCACCCCTGGTCTTAAGTCACTTTTTTCAGTGCCATTGTAACTTTGAACAGTCACTAAATGAATTGTCATCAATCGAGGACCACCTGCATGGTAAAAAAGTGATCAGAACCAGCCCATTTTCAATACAAACTGGCTTCCAAGTTCAACCTCCCAGTTTGCATTGGAATAAACCTGACTGGTTTGGACAAACGGATTCTTGAAGCCTGATTTTTCCCCACAGATGGGTCTTGTAATTCAAGGAGAGACATAAAAGAGTAGGGGAATAGCAGAAATGGAAGCACGTGAGTAACCATAACGTTAATTCTAGTACTAGCTGAACAAGTCATGTTTCTGATTCATTGACCTCAATTAGCGCTGTTGGAAAATTGGATTTGCTTTATTTGCTGAAGCCATATTTACAGTGGTGGGATTCAAATAATTTAACAACCGATTCTCTGCCGTAATGATTTCTTCCAAGAACCAGTTCACCAAACTGCTCAGAAAGTTAACAACCGGTTTTCCCGAAGTGGTGCGAACTGGCTGAATCCCACCACTGCATATTTAAAAAAGGTGCGTGGGCAGGGGTGAAATCCAGCAGATTCTGACAGGTTCTGGAGAACTGGTAGCGGAAATTTTGAGTAGTTCGGAGAACCGGCAAATACCACCTCTGGCTGGCCCCAGAGTGGGGTGGGAATGGAGATTTTACAATATCCTTCCCCCAGGAGTGGGGAGGGAATGGGGATTTTGCAGTATCCTTTCCCTGGAGTGGGGTGGGAATGGAGATTTTGCAGTATCCTTCCTCTGCCACGCCCACCAAGCCACGCCACACCCACCAAGCCACGCCCACAGAACCGGTAGTAAAAAAATTTGGATTTCACCACTGTGCGTGAGGAATCTGTCTCAGGTATGAAATGTGTCCCCCAACGGGGCAAGTTAACAGAACGAACGTCAATCTTGGGACAGGTTTTACCTCAGTCTCATTTACAGTTTTATTGATGTGGGTTTTTCTTCTTTGTAAATAGGATTTGAAAGGGTAAACAAGTAACATTTAAATAAATAGTTTGAACTGGTGCACTGATCTCTTTCAGATTGCTGCAATTCTCCGGAAACGAAAACTTGATTATTATTTGAACAAGCTGCTTCCTGAAATTCTACAATCAACATCCTTCCTTACAGCAAATGGAAGTCTTTACATTATGTTTTTCTGCATTTTAAGGTGATTTGATTATACATTTTTGGACTAAATCAGTGGATAGTGAAATAACCTAGTTTCATCTTCCCTCATACTCAGGCCTTTACTACAGGTAGTCCTCAGCTTACAACCACAATTGAGCCCACAGTTTATGTTGTTAAGCGAAACATTTGTTAACTTGAGATTTTTCCCATTTTACGACCTTTCTGGTCACAGTTGTTAAGTGAATTCTGCCCCATCTTACGATCTTTCTTGCCCCTATTCTTAAGTGAATCACTTGCACTTATTAAATTAGTGACACGGTTGTTAAGTAAATCTGGCTTCCCCATTGACTTTGCTTGTGAGAAAGTTGCCAGAGGTGGGATCACATAACCCTGCAACCGTTATAAATATGAGCCAATAGCCAAGCATCTGAATTTTGATCACATGACTATGGGGATGCTGTAATAGGTTGTAAGCGTGAAAAATGGCCATACATCACTTTCAGTGACGTAACTTCGAACGATCACTTTTATTTTAAGTTGAGGACTACCTGTACTTACTGCCTGCCTTATAAAAAAGGATTATAGCAATTTTCTTATTTTTTAACAGAATATTTGTTGCATTTTTATGTACAGTTCTTTATATTGATTGTTTCCCAGTTTTGGGAAATGTCATTCTGAACGGGGATACATACATTTTAATAAATAATAATTTCATTGAATGCAGATGTAAACGTTTGGTCAGCTTAGAGTTTTTTCCCTGTGGTAACAAATATGACCTATCACTATGCAAATGCACACAGTCCTTTGTATTAAGGTAAACCTTTGAATACTAAATACTAGCATACTAAAAAGCGCAGACATCACCCTGCCAACAAAAGTGCGTATAGTCAAGGCTATGGTTTTCCTAGTTGCAATGTATGGCTGTGAAAGTTGGACCATAAGGAAGGCTGAGCGTCAAAGAATTGAGGCCTTTGAACTCTGGTGCTGGAGAAGACTCCTGCGAGTCCCTTGGACTGCAAGGTGATCCAATCGGTCAGTCCTAGAGGAGATCAACCCTGACTGCTCTTTCGAAGGCCAGATCCTGAAGAGGAAACTCAAATCCTTTGGCCACCTAATGAGAAGGAAGAACTCACTGGAGAAGAGCCTAATGCTGGGAACGATGGAGGGCAAAAGAAGATGGGGACTACAGAGAACGAAGTGGCTGGATGAAGTCACTGAAGCAGTCGGCGTGAGCTTAAATGGTCTCCAGAGGATGGTAGAGGACAGGTAGGCCTGGAGGAACGTTGTCCATGGGGTTGCGATGGGTCGGACTTCAACTTCGCAGCTAACAACAACAACAACAACAAACCTTTGAAATATAAAGCAGTAAAATTGAGGTTCCTGCCGGAGGTGTTAGAACTATGAATGTTATGAGGTTCTTTGAAGTGTTGCGAAGAGCTCTGCTGATGGACCAAAGAGGAGGAAGAAAGCATACTTAGTACTTTCCCACTACAGCCTCCCACCTTGTTTCCTAACCTAATCCTCTGCAGACAGTTTTGGGAGACACAAGTGACTGGCCAGGCAGAAGAAGGAATCTGAAAATCACGTCCCCTTCTTGCTTTAGTAAAGAGCACCTGCTGAGGATAATTCTGCTCACGGGAACCCTTGATCCAAAGTATTTGCCGCCTGCGGATGTTTATTTATTTATTTCAGAAAATAGGGCCTCCTTTTCCCTGTCATGTTGAATGTAACCAATCCTGCCTTTAATTGTTTTAGGCGAATACTGGGAAAATTCTATTTTTGGACTCCTGGTTTCGGTGCTGCTCTACCAGCGTCCTACATAGCTATTCTTATTGAAAGGAAGAGCAGGTATGTGTTTTTACATTTATTTATTTATTGGTTCGATTTATATGCCGCCCTTTTCCGGAGACTCGGGGCGGCTTACAATGCGTTAAGCAATAGCCTTCATACTTTTGTATATACCTGTTTAGTAGGGCTTTCGCCCCGCCCCCCCCCCCAAGCGGTGTTCTTTTTTATACAAAGTCAGCTTATTGCCCCCACAAACCGGGTCCTCATTTTACCTATCTACTGGAAGGCTGACTCAACCTTGAGCCCGGTGAGATTCGAACTTGCAGTAATTGCAGGCAGCTGGTGTTACTTAACAGTACTTTAGTCTGCTGCGCCACCAAGGCTCTTACAAACAGAATTGTTTGTTTGTTTATATAATGATGATGATGATCATCCATTATCCATTCCGTCGTGTCTGACTCTTGGCAATTCTGTGGGCCAGGTCTTCTCCACAACTTCCGATCTTGCACTGCTTCCCATAGCTGTTCTGTGCTCTGGCTGGTATCAGCTTTGATGGGTGTCCAGCCACCATGTTCTTTGGAGGCCTGGATTCCTTTGATGTTCATGTAATATATCTCCCACCTGGGGTGTGATTCAACTGTAGTAATCAGTGAACAGATATAAAACAGCATCCAGAATCATCACACTCAGTATATGCTGCAACATTTTTATAGTTCCCATGAAAATGTTCGTGTGTAGCTCAGGCTTGACATGAGGGGTCCTTGGTGGTCTCTGAGCTTGCTTGTTTTCTTGCAGACGTTTCATTACCTGAACTAGTAACATCATCAGTGCTAGTAAGGAATGGGGTTTGCTCCCAGTTCTTACTAGCACTCTTTACTAGCACTGTTGATGTTACCTAGTTTGGATATTGAAACATCTGCAAGAAAACAAGCAAGCTCAGAGAGCACCAAGGACCCCAAATGTTTATCTGATTGTAAAATTCTAAAACAATCCATTGTCTAACTTTATTAAGAAGATTATTGGCTTCTGTTCTTGTTCCAGGTGGGACTTATTCCAATCAATTTTACTTTAACTTATTCGTATCAATTTTACAATTAATAAATAGATATTGCTGCAGGATCAGAGACCGCATGATTGTGAATATCAGAGGCTAGGGTTTAATAATAGGCAATTATCATATTTTTCGGACTATAAGACGCACCTGCCTTTTTTGGTGAGGAAAAATAGAAAAAGAAATCTACCTCTGCCTCCCAGCAATTTTGCCTTGTTGCAGCAAACAGCAAATAGCCTGCTTTACTTTCATTTTCGTTTTCAGCATAGCTTGATTAGCACAAGGAAAAAAAAAACCTGCTCCAGCAATTTACCTCCTTGCAGCAAGCAGCAGAGACCCGTGCAAAACAGCTGAGAGCAAAACAGCTGAGAGTCCGGAGGCCGATCCAATCAACTTGTGCTAATTAGGCTGTGCTGAAGCTGAAACGAGCTGTTTCTTCTTGCTGCTTGCTGCAAAGGAGGTAAATTGCTGGGAGGCAGAGACCAAAGAGTGGGGGCCAGTGGGTGGGTGGGACTACATTTAGTGTATAAGACGCACTTAAATTTTCACCCCCTTTTAGGGGGGTAAGAGGTGCGTCTTATACTCTGAAAAATACTGTACCATCATGTTCTGTTTGTGGACTTCTCCGAAATTCATTTGGTTTATGGCTGTAAGAAATAACAATATTGAGCCAGATAAATTTGTCTCAAATGCTTTGCGGCATATATATTGTTTTGCTCAGTTTGAGCCCCAGCGCTTATCTTTATTCGTTTCTGCTCGTACACTTTTTAAGGAGTCTTTCATAATGTCTCCAATTCTTTTCCAATTCACAAGGATACATTCCACGCAATAAATATGTCAAGATGGTATTGCTGGAAAATAACAGTTAGAGAGATTACAGTTCTAAGGTTGGTCAATTCAGGTTTAAACGTGTTAGAGGAGGAAGAGAATTTATGAAGATAGTCACATTCCTAGAGTGGGAAGGAATATATGATCAAAAGATACTCCTTCCTCTTATCTCTCCAGTTTAGATAATTTTCTGGAAGAACCCTGGCCTTGTAAACAAACGCATTTCCGTGGCTGTACAGCCATACCTTCTTGCCTTTTTGATGTGATGCATCGGCGTTTCTCAGCTATACATTTCACCGGCCCCAGAAATCACTGATACCACCCTTCTTATCTCTGTATCCTGTTGCTCCATTTGTTCTCACCGCATAACTGAGGCCAGCCACCCACCCTTCTCCAATCACCTGCTTCTCCGGAGGGCTCCTAAAGACATTCTTTGGAATGAAGCCCTTTTGCTTTTCCTCTCCTGCTGGGCTCATGTTGTTCTCAGCTCTAGCCGCTCTTTACAACCGAAGGCGTCACAAGAGAGGGCAGAAGGGATTAGCCGAGAACAGGTGCTGTACTCACGAAGTCCTGTGAGGTTCCTTGAAAGGAAACGGTCCTGGCAAGAAGCTTGGCATATAGGGATGGCCAAGAATTAAAAGGGGGAGGGAATGGGTGGGCTATCTTCCCGCCCCCCCTTTCTCTGTGGGTGCGATTTGTTCTTGCTCTGCGGGTCTGTATCATCTATCACTCGAAATACATGTCTGCGAGCAGGAGGAGAGCTTACCCAAATTTGCTGCATCTGTAAATTGTAGGCAAATCAACCGCCTCATCACCTGGGGACAAATTAAATCCGAGCCCTTCCTTTTCATCAAAAGCGACTGCAGGGACTTGTGTCGACTCCCCGGTTCTTTCCCTCCCTTCTCCCAGTCTTATTTTGGAAGGCAAATCAGAGACGGGTTGTATCCCAAAATGACAATTGAGAAAAGATTTGGAGCTCCTATCCGAGTTCTGGAAAATAGGCTACGATTGCTTGACTGGGCCCCTTCATTAAAAACCCTTGCCCTCCATTCAATATTGAGGAATAATGGAAGAGCAGAGTTGGATGGGACCGTGAAGGTCTTCTCAGCCAACCCTCTGCTGAGGTAGGAGACTCAATACAGGGGTCCCCAACCTGTGGCCCCGTCCCACTACTAGGCCACGGTCTGTTGGCCACTGGGTTGCGTGAGTGGCTGGCCAGTGCACATGTGTGTCCGTGCGCACCCCCACTCACGCTAGCGTCATGTCAGCACTTCAAGTTGCATTTACTCTAGTGCTGACATAAGAAGGAGAAGCGGAGGCGTCTGGAAAGGGACGTTTGACTTTTCACCTACTTACTTTCCCTGGAGATAATATCCCCTAGGAGATGGGATGGGAGGGGGGAAATTCCTTGAGCTGGAGCAGTAGATTAGGAGTAGAATGACTTGGACGATGGCCAATGAGTGCAGGGGAGTGGGGAACGGAAAGGGAGGGTTTTGGGTCTGGAAGTCAGTGTTGGCTGCGATGGAGTCAGAATTAGAATGTCGTGCTAAATAAATGGGAGTTTTCTTCAAAGACTTTGTTTGAAATGCATTTTATTTGAGACGACCTCGAAACCTGACACGTCATAGCAAGCATTGCATCTGTGCTACCATTGCCGTGAATGTTGCGTGCACGTTCACAGCCCTGTTTGACTCGCATGCTGGCGGCCCGGTTCATGCGCTCACGGCCCAGTTCACTCGTGTGCATGTGCATGTAAAGGCACCTGCCCCTCCCCTTCCTTCGGGCTGCCAACCCAGAAAGATTGGGGAGCTCTGCTCTATATCATTCCAGACAAGTTGACAAGTCTCTTTTTGAAAGCCGCCAGTGACGGAGCACCCACAACTTTTGAACTCCGGGTCTTTTCTCTTTCATGTTTGCTGCTATTCTCTCTCTCCCTCCCTCCCTCCTTCCCCTGACCCACTGTAATTTGGGCTCCTGATACATCTGTATGAAGAATGATTTTGATTATAAAATTATGCAGCAGCACCATTCGATTTTATTTTAATTACCATGTAAATGGGAGCTCAATTGAAAACCCTACAGGCTTGTTAGCTTCTGTGGAACTGAACTAATCCCTTTTCTCTCTAGGCAGTTTTGGGAGATTTGAGTCAGCGAGGACATTCCGCAAACAGAATCTTGCCATTTTTGCTAAACAAAATTTTTCAAGGAAAGCCAAACGGAAGCGATTGTAGCCCTTGGTGTAAATAAGATGTTTTTGTCACATAGATGTGAAGTATTTAATATTCAGATTTCTTACCAGTGGTGAAATCCAAATTTTTTTTACTACCAGTTCTGTGGGTGTGGCTTGGTGGGTGTGGTGTGGCTTGGTGGGCGTGGCTTGGTGGGCGGGGCAGGGAAAGGATATTGCAAAATCTCCATTCCCACCCCACTCTGGGACCAGCCAGAGGTGGTATTTGCTGGTTCTCCAAACTACTCAAAATTTCCGCTACCGGTTGTCCAGAACCTGTCAGAACCTGCTGGATTTCACCCCTGCTTCTTACCCAAAAGATAGGATTCATTTAGGACACTAACCTCTTCCTTTTTAAAATCAGAAATAAGTATTCAGGTATTCCTCGACTTACAGTTGTTCATTTAGTGACTGTTTGAAGTTACCACAGCACTGAAAAAAGTGATTGATGACCGTTTTTCATATTTATGACCATTGTAACATACCTATGGTCACGTGATTTACATTCGGATGCTTGACAGCTGAGTCACATTTATGACGGTCACAGTGTCCTGGAGTCATGTGGTTCCGTTTTGCGACCTTCTGACAAGCATAGTCAATGGGGAAACCAGATTCATTTAACAACCATGTTACTAATTTAAGAACTGCAGTGATTCACTTAACCACTGTGTTAAGAAATGTCGTAAAATGGGGCAAAACTCACTTAAGAAATGTCTCGCTTAGCAACAGAAATTTGGGTCTCGATTGTGGTTGTAAGTCGAGGACTACTTGTAATAATAGGGCATCTTGGAGAAAGACTCCTTTTCAGATGGAAAGATAAATGATAGGTTGCTACTCCGTGACAGTTATCTACAGAAATGCAAAGAGGAATTGAGAATTTTCTTCAAAATAAGTATTTTGTTGTTGTTAGTTGCGAAGTTGTGTCCGACCCATCGCGACCCCATGGACAACATT